TCAAATACATGATCCGAGTTTTGGCCTCCCACTGGAGTTGAACTGCCCTCTGCAATCCACCGATGACATCTTCACAAGAATCGTGGCCAAATTCCACCCGCAAAGTTTGCAAGAATCGAAGTACTTTCTCCACATCCTCTGTGAACTCTTGCACTTCCAGCGGGTGGGAAGACTTGTAGTCCCTGTAAGCGACGACTGCCATTCGAACCGTGGCTCCGACTCCCACTGTCTTGCAGATCCGTCTCTGTATTTCTGTGATCTTCTCTTTTGCACCCTCAATACGGCCGCGCATCGAGGTGGTGCTGTCCACAACAAAAGCCACATCAATTGTTTTGGTCTCCTTTGCTCGAATCATTGACTCTGAGATTTCTGCATCAAGCATGGACTCTGCCTTTTTCATCCTTGGTCAGGGCGATGCCACAACCCATCATGCCACACCAGCTGCTACAGAATTAGTGCCAATCTATGTTATACTGTTTTTCACCACGCATCCCAACATCCCTGGAGGGATGGTTGCTGCAAAGCTCAAAGCATTTCTAGGACAATGGTATGTATTTGTGCATAAAGAGGATTCACGATAGAAATTGAAAATTTATATATACTGTACATATATAGCGAACTGATCTGCAAATCTGGGAATGCACTGGACCCTCTGAATCCGGCTAGAAGTCAACTACCTCCAGAGCATCCGATCTCTTGCATGTAGGTTTCAAAGCACCCCAAGGACCCAGAGGTATCTGATCTCTCCATGCAACAAGATCATGAATTGAACAGGCATGTGCCAATTTTGTGTCAGTTGGGAGGGCAGGGCCTCAATCTCTGAATCTAAGGATCCTGATGAAAGCATCAAAGAATCTGCAAGCATGCTTTCTAGTGGCTTGCGCATCCAAACAGGATCTTGGGGTGATTTGCGACATTAAGAAGAGACAGCCCAGCTTTCCAACGAAAGTGCCAAGCATCTTCGAAGCACTTGCGCGCAAGCTCTCCCTGCGACGAGTGCTCCCATTGGTTTGAAGGCACAGCGCCAGTAGCTGCCTGAGGCTGAGCTGAGCAGTCATGCCAAGCCTCGTGGGCACCTGCGGTGATTTGTATTCACAATAGTCTTAGATGGTCCTTTACAATCTGGGCGCTTTGAGAATAGTCACCCCTGTCCAGTAGGGACCGGATGGTACCTGATGGCACACAACAACATGTGCACGAAGCATCGGTCGTTTCCACCGACAAAGATCCTGCCACGTTGCTCCTTCGAAAGGTCTCGAAGTCCTTCCTCAAGGTTTGTGAGGTCGCTCAACTCGGTCATTCTCTTTGGCTAAAGGAAGTGCAAGAGAACAAAGCTGAGATGGTCTTTTTGGGAGCCTAAATCGGCTGCGAAGAGTCAAGTTGAATCTCTCACCTCAAAAAGAGGCACGCAATCAACAAGCAAGCAAGTCAGATGTCATCCAATCCCAACAAAATCTGGGGGTAGTGACCGAAAAGTATTCTTTGTGAACCTTGCATATGAAGAAATCAAATGCAAAATGTCTTCCCATATCTTCCCTTTGCTCTGGAACCAACCTGCTGATTCAATGAGATTCATCACAACCAAAAAAAACATGTGTTCAATCGGGTTCACTGCTCGGAGACTCTTGCAAAGCGAAAAGGTACTGCTGGGACTCGAGGAATCCACATCAAAAGGCGCCTGCTGTGCTCTTCCTGCCATCCGTTCCGCCGTCGGTTCAGCCATTGGGGCGAGCTTCACGCTTCACCGGTTGGGCCTCCGCTAAACGATGGCTGTCGAGGTGCAAAGCCTTCCTGGTCGAACCCGGGCCCCTGGCTACACGAATCCCTAAACCAAGAACGCTACTGGGACACGTGAGATGAGACTTCCAGTGCCCACGTCTTTCGATTCTCAGTGGAATGCCCTTCGCCTACTAAAACGGGTCTTCGACTCGAGTCACTGCCCGCAAGGTGGAGTTGTCTTCATTCACACACATGCATGGGTTTTGTGTCAGGTGTGTCAGGTGTGGAGGGCCTTTCACTGTTTGTAAGAAGGAGGGCACCATGTCGCGTTCCTCGAATGAATTGCGACATGACGCGCCTTTCATCGGGCTCGCATCCCATGGACTCGTCCTCTAAGGTCTTCTGCATCACCACAGCCTTGACAAGTTAAGCGAGAAGGATGACTCGACCTGTTCTGAGTAGGGGAATTGGATAGTTACTCATGCCGTGTATGCCTGAATCTAGGACTCTAAGCGTGCGCTTCAAGTTGCAACTTGCTGGTCCGTGGCCAAAGTGGCTCGGACACTCTCCACTGCTCATCGGATGTTTGTCCTCTCCTTTTCGCCTTGTCTTGCCATCGCACGGATAGGCAAGGACTCTCAATGGTCCACTTAAAATAATAGGAGGCTCTCCAAGCCAAGAAGGGCAACCAAATCCCGACCAAATGGACCATCATATGACATCACAGGTGGATATTTCACCTGAACGCCCCTCTTTGATCCATCCATCAAGGGCACAGTGCAACTGTGACTTGCAAGGACACAAGCGTCTTCTGCGCTCGGACAGTACTACTGCAAGTCCTGGACAAGTTACTTGAGCAGTGCAGTGAATCGTCATCTCTCACTGCACCAAGAACCATTCATGTTCTTCCGCCATCTGGCAGATTTGACATGTTGCTGGAGGTGCACAGCCCTTGGTTTGGATCACATGCATGGAGTACTTGATTGGCCCATTGCAAGACAGGCAATCTGTCACGCTCTCGCTCGCTGTGACTTTCTTGAAGCAAGTGCTGCAATACCTCAAAAAAGCTGTGCAAAGTCTGTGAAGTCACGTATTATGTGTTTGGAAAAGAGAGGACAGGAGTCTTCAGAAGGTAATGTCAACTTCCAGCTGCAGAACTCCCATGTTGCACAGGGTAAAGACTACCAAGTTGAGGCTGCTAGCCCAAGGCTACCTGAGTGGGACCACATCAAGCGAAATGTAGTTTGTTTGTATCTGCAAGGCACACTGTCCCGTAGGTTCTCATCATCTCAAAGTACGATGGCCCAACCGAAAGGACGGCACTGCAAAGATCACATGCCAGTTGATTGGAAGGTGATGGCCCAATTTTCAAGGAAACATGGGAACGATTCGCTAAGCATCTTGGAAGCACTTGCACACAAGCTCTCCCTGCGACGAGCGCTCCCATTGGTGGATTTGATGCATAGCTCCAATAGCTGCCTCAGGCTGAAGCATTCATCGGGGGCCTCGTTGCCTCCTGGAGCCTGGAGTAGGTCCTTCAATAAAACTGTTGTGATGTGAGACAACTTACAGCTGAAACAAGGACACCCCTCCTGCCAAGGTCGTATCCATGGACAAGATGGGCCATAATGCGTGCGTTGAGCGTTCGGTCGTTAAAATATCAGACAGCTACAATGACGCTGTCAAGTTGCTCCTTGGAAAGGTCGCGAAGTCCTTCTTCGAGGTTTGTGAGGTCGCTCAGCTCAGTCATTCTCTTCGGAGGCTTCGGAGGAGTCTCAGAGAACCAACTTGAGATGGCGTTGTTGGAAGCCGAAATGGGCTGCGGAATAGGTGGATCTCTCACCTCCACAAAATGTACACAGTCACAAACTCAGCAAGTCAGATGTCGTCCAATCTCAAGAAACTACGTTCAAATCTGATGCGTTCAGACCTTTGCACTTCAAGATGAAGTCAAAAGGCTTTGCCCTCTTCCAGTCTCCTTCGATATCTCAATTTAGGCTGTGTCTTTCACCTGTGACTGATAATCCTCAAGAAAAGGACATGTCTCAAACGAAAAAATGCTGGACCCAAGGAATCAATGGCACGCTCCACGCCTAATTTCCTCCAGCCGCAATTCGTTCCTTCAGCCCGACTTCGCCAGCCTCGACCCCCCCCAAGCTACCAGGACATGCAGATGGAGCAAAGCAGCGATTCGGACACCGTGGACTGACTTGTGCCTTGAGTGCCTGGAGCCACCGGACTCCACGACAACAGTACTTGTGGACAGACTTGTTTGAGAATCTCGAAGTGATTTCTTCCTAGGGTAACGTGGGTCACAATGTGGGCCAACTATTTGGACTTTAGAAACCTTTACACACCTTGACACTGCCATCACAAAGCCCTGAGGCGGAAATAGCTTGCTGTTTACATGTATGCTGCGCCGTGTTTGTGTGTACCCAGGCGCTCCTGGACCCTCATATAGAGAGAGATCGTACCCTCATAAGGAGGGGTCTCAAATCCCTAGGTTTTCAGGGACCAAGGAGCTATTTGGAGCTGTTTAGAGCTATTTGGAGCTGGTTTACTCTGCCACCACGCTGCGCTGCTCCAGTTAACCCCCGCACCCCTCCGTGACTTCACCCTGCCTCGCCCCCCCGGGGTTGGACGACGCCGGCCAGGCTCCATGGCCAGTAGCAGAGCGCAACTGCTACACTTCAGGTATGTCCTTGATGTGTTGTTATGCTCTTTTCGAGGCAGCATTCTGGTGGATAGTCAAGACACATCCTTGAGACATTGGACTCAAAGACTTCTCCACTAGTCCAGCATCTAGGCATCTATTGGAGTGCAGACTGCGGACTGCAGACCCCGGCTGGCAGTGAGGAGGTCTCCCAATGTGTGAACACTTGTCATCTCATCTCCGCTGCTACCCTGTGCAGGAACTCCTTCACTCGACCCAAAGAATGTTCTCTTCGAGCTCTCGACTCGAGCTCTCGAGCGCCAAAACGAGCTGCACGTTCGTTGGAGAGCTTCGCCGTGGGACGAGGTGTGTAATGCCAAGCTTCGGAGAGGCGCCCGATCATGTCTGGATTCCCAGCCAGTCCAGCGACATGCGGAGGAGTGCGCTGAAAGGGAGGACTCGGACAACTCAGCTGACTCTCAATTCTTTGTTTGTTCCAAAAACACCATGGGGGGGAGCCTCTTAGACTCTTAGACAATTGAAACGGTCTTCAAATGAACATCTCTATCAATCCACATCTGGCCGGGCTCGCAGAATGTTTTCCAGAGGGAAAACCGCCGTTCCAAGCCTTCTCAAATGGACGGCCAGTGGCCAAAACGACCTCGGAAGTACTCGGAAGAATAAAAGCCAGTTGGATCCAAGCAAGAAAGTGAAGGATGCACTGGATAGTTACTATATGTGGAGCGAAAAAGGTGCGTTGACACTACCAGGACAGCACCCAAGACATCGGCTCTGCCAACACATCCGGGTTTTGATGTTAGCGTGATATCCTTTGTAGTTCAGCGTATGATGGCACAAGGAAAGTCACTTCTGCATTTGAAACTTGTGCCATCTGCATCTCACCAAACACACCCTCTGTGGTGGGCTGTGACATATGACTAATGGGTGTGGCAAAATGAAACACTTGAATTTCTGGGTCAGTTCATCCGCCAAAGTGCTGCCTTCATTAAAAATACCTCCAAGCCCTTTGTGCATGCCAATCCTCATACCCTTGCAGCCTTTAGACCCCAATAGCCATGCCTCAGAGCCAGCCAACCACAAAAATCCCAATGATCTGTCCAAAGACATACAAACGCATCATTCACCTTCCCACCCCCTCCTTCGCTTCCACTGATGCTGGCCAAGGCCGTCTACCCGTTCTCGGTGCCCGTGCAGGGATGCCTTGGGCCTTGGGCAGGCTGAGATCATCTGAACTACTTCTCATCTCTGAGGTCCCAGTGTTTTTTTTCTGTCCAAAACGTCCCCCTGCGCGCAGGAAGAGAACCACCAGCCAATTGGAGCCCCAAGTCGCCGTGGCATGTTTGATTGATGTCAAATCGTGTGGGGACATCGATCCTCCTGCGGATGCCACAGACGAACACTTTGTAGGTGAGTGAAGGAAAATTGTCTTCCAAGGGATCCATTTGCAGGGCTTCTATATTATATAAGTGTTGAAGAGGGGAGACTCCCTGATAGGTATCCCAATGTCACTTCTGAGTATGGAGGTTCGCCTACCTCATAAAGTACAAAACCAACGCTAAAAACCATTCTCTGGATACTGTTGAAGGAAGAAATCCAAAAAGAACTGAGGAACTCCAACCCCAATGTCGATTCAGTGGCAGAGCGGCCCATCCTGTCCCTCAAAAATGCTGACAGTCAGTGCCTCACTCTTCATTGCATGGTGGGTAGGTCTGGCTCTTCTTCCACCGTCCTCCAATCCCCTTTCACGCAGGGTCAACACCCATCCCCTACCTCCACGCGCATCAAGACCGAGCACGTGTCGTCGCTGACGCCACCATCGCCGCCTCAGAAAACGGGTCCACGGTCCACGGGCGTTCCCCGAGCTCTACGACCCTCCAGGTGACCAGAGGACAAGGTCTGAATGACCCTGCCAAGGTTCGTGAAGACTTCACTACAAGGGTTGTTGGGCTCCCAAGGGCTGTGGGTCAAAACCTGGAAGCGAAAAACACCCTTGTAGCTTGACTAGACTATGTCTGGTAGTCTGTTCTATTCGGTTTTGACCCACAGATCCCCACCACCTGCAGCCTTTGGGCTTCGGCTACATCTGTACAAACACGCTATATGGGCTGGGACCCTGCGTGAGTCGTGTTGTGAGGCAAGGCTTCGCCCTCACAATTTGATGTTGTCCAAGGAGCCTTTGTTGTTGACACATGCAAGGAACCTGCATCCCAGGCCAGCATCCAGGAGGGTGTCAAGGGTCATGAATTTCGAGGTCAAGGAACCTGTATTTTCTGGGTTCTATGGGTTCTATCATCATCTAACATCATGCATCTCTCTATCCAACTGATATCCAGAAACACGACCCTCTGACTCGCTGAAATTGGAGCGGAATCATATGTCTTCCGTCCTTCTTCCAAAGGCTGGGCGCACGTGACTTCGCAAGTAGGTTCAGTGAAGCCTGCCCTGGGAGATTGTGTGCTCAAACTTCGGGCTGGATGCCAAACAGGAACCATTTCTGCACACAACTCCACCTGTCAGAAAAATCTTAAGAAAGCATGCTTGGGCATCAAACCCGACACACTCTAAGAACATTATATATTTAAAAAATCGGACATCAAACCGCACTCACTATACATTCCCAAGCACTAGAATCATGCACCTCCACACTCTCTCAGCCCCATTGGTGACCTTCCGGCTTACCTGGGTGCATCCCACGCAGCAAGGTGCCATTGCCATCCACGGCCACCAGCCTGGTGTCGTCCCCACCGGCACGGACGGGGCAGGCGCTTTCCGATGCGGCGCTCCCGAGTGGGTTGGTGGCTGGCATCACCTCAGCTTCAAAAGACTAGGAGCTTTTTCGGGAGATGATGTTGATATCAGCTCATCTGCACCCCTTGACCCTGCAGAATTCACACCTAATCCTCTACATCGGGGCCTTGCCTGCGACCACCAGATGAAGGCCCCGAGAGAACACCCGCGAACCGCCGTGGAGCTCGGTGGAGCGATTCGGCCTCACCCCGTCCCGACCACGAGTGCCGCCACCGGCGGAAAGTGGTTCTCACCCCAAGCAAGCCGCTCTCCCAGGGAAAGTGGACCACGCTCGTGGCCCAGATTAAAACGCCCTGGTTTCAGAGGAAGAAGACGAGAAGAGACTCTTTAAAAGACTGTTTGAAGCGTCCTTGCACCGAGGAGAAACCAAAACATGTAGGGTAAGCCAGGCTCAAGGAGTCCGGTGTTCCAGGCTCAACAAACCAGCACCACACACGGATCTGCACACACACTTGCTTCTATCCACTTTAGAGGCGTCTCCCTCAAGTGAAGATAGATGAACAAGCCTGGGACAAGTGGGTCTTTGTCAAACCAACATCCATATCAATGGATCCCAGCTACCACCATATGAGGAACCCAAACACTCACTCCACCACCGAACGGTCGTCGACCGATCCGCACACGGAACTCGTTCGGTTCGAAAGCTCGGATGGAAATCCGCGGATCGAAATCCGCTCCGCTCGGTGTTCTTTTTCGGCGTTGGCTTGGTCCCAAACAAGAAACAGAAATTGGTCCAAATGGAGCTGGAAAGGAGAGGGCCTCATACCTCGGCCCTCATACCTCCTTTCCATCATCAGATACCCTGAAGGACACGGATCTCAGGCCCTGTCCAAACAAAGAAGACGCTGCAGACTGTTGATAGATCTAGGTATGCTTGAAAGCCATTCCAACTTCAAAGAAGGACCCATTCCGACAAGGTCCTGAGGTCAGGTCGTAATCACAATCCACCTATGGATACCTATGTGGTGCGATCCCTCACCTTTCAGAGGAATCCCTCACCTTACGTCCCACCCGGGACTTCTATCTTCAACAGCCCACAGTCATGTCTCTTAGTCCACAGTCAAAGGCAGAGACTTCAGTCAGCAGGCGCTGCCAAAGTGGTCAACTGTACGGTACTATCGCATTGGGTCATGCAAGTTCGCATGAGCCCTTCCATTGCACAGGTCATGCACAAACATCAAAAGGACACCGGCTGCAAACAAGCTCATTTGCTCCGACATAACATGGTTAAAAAAGAGGCGATCCTCCTGGTATGCCAGCACAGTCTACAGGCTACGAAATGGATGTGTATGTCTGATTCTTTGCATATCTTGGTAGGGCGCCCCCAAGTTGCTTGGGTGGACTATCTTCCGAACCGAACTCATGGGGTGCTTGGCCACGGCGGTCGTGGCCACATCGGCCATTTCGAGCGCAGACGTGGTGTGTCTTCGATGTGTCTTGGTGTCCGTCGGACTTTCATCGATTGAGTCTGTGTGATATTGGTTTGATGAGATGTGTGATACAAGGTACTATCGTGGAAACTTTTGTTGCGGTAGAAATGTAAGAAAGGCGATCAGAAGGAAAGCTGCACGTGCTGCTGTGCCTGACGCCATTCTTTTGGCCAAACAGAAGTCTTGGAAGCTTCAGAGCTTTGTGTCACGTCACGTGTGTTGACATGCGTGACTCTTCAAATGAGATACACTATAATACACTAACCCTCTGGAAAGCCTGTCCTTATCCTCTTCGAGACACGCAGCTGTCACTCTCCAAGACACTCAGCTGTCACTACTCTATATAGTTGTATTAAAGTTGGAATTTCCGGCGATTCCCCACGCTTGGAAAGCATCCGAATCTGCTTCGCATCACCCGAGGATTCGGTGGAAACCATCCCGGCTCTCATCATCTGCGCCACCCTGAAAGACCACTCCAGCGATCGCGGTCTGCGGTCCTTACAGCTGTGCACTTCAGTCAAAAGCCGGGAGCCTATCACACGAATACAGCAGGGTCCGGTGAGCTTCATGGAAAAAGAAGTAGATGATCAATCCATCCATCCTTCCAGGGGAGCTTGGCACCAACGATCCATTGCTAGAACAAGTGAGCCTCCTCACGGACCTTGACTCATTTCAAGCCTCCTGTGCGCCGAGCAGCGCGTTGGCCAGCCGAGCCGTTCATATCCAGCCCACAATCGGTTTCGTTCTGCGCAGAGAAACCCATTTCGTTAGGCCCAACGATTTAAGATCTGTTTGCCAGGTCGGTCGGCATATGCCGTAGAACAGCTGGCAACTCCACCAAAAAGATTTGCTCGAATCTGATCAAACCAACATCACCAAAAAGAAAAAAAATCGCTTGGGAGATGACATCAAGTTTACTTGTGAGATCCTCCGTGCCCTCCGACGGTTCTTGGACGGTCCCAAGTTCGCCGAGCAACGCCATGGGGTCCCTCTCAAGTCTTTCGAAGAAGGCCTCCCAGTTGGTGGGGGGCGCGTGTCGCTCCAGCACACTGGGAGATTGGAGCGCCGGAACGTGTCTTCCGCATGCGCTGGAACACCTGGAGGGCCGCGCCTGGTGGGCCGCGAAGCGCGGAGAGCGAGCGAAGGGACAGGTTTCTGAGTCGGTCACGATCCTGGGGGGACCGGGAAACCCGAAATGGGAAGAAAAGGAAAGTGGTATCACGGTATTAAAGCACTGACTGATGGCATGCTCATCATTGTTTCACCCACGGCTTTCACCAGCACCTTGGACAAGGACCTCTGGAACTGTAGGACCTCTTCGGTTGCAGGGAGGTCCTTGTCTTCATTTCGGCTTTGAACAGACCCCGTTCGGTGTCAACCCTCCGTTTACCCCATGGATTTCCTCACCTTGATCACTGCATCATGCGTCCCTGCTTGGGCGTACTCGAAAGCGATCTTGCCACGTGAGTCCAGCTGCATGGGCTCTGCTCCGAAGCTCAGCAGCTTCTGAGTGATGCCCGGCTGGTTCTGCTTGACCGCTTCGTGCAGGGGAGGTGGCGACTCTTCCGAAACACGCACGGCCTCGGGGGTGGACGCAGTGAAGAAGGACGGACCAGAAAAGGAATCCGAACCACTTGAGCCCACAAGGGATGGTTAATGGATACCCAACAGCTAAGGGGGGTCTCGATAATGGAGACCCTGTCAGGATTTTTGTGGCGCAATCTTTGTTGAGGTTGCATCTTGCTTGGAATCTTCAATGACGATTGCCTACCAATCATTTGGGCAAGACTGAATCTGCAGAACCAAGATTGGCAACGCTCACGATGCTCAGGAACCCAGCCTTTTTCACGCATAAAGTTCACGTCCGGTGGGAAATTGTTGCTCATCAGGAAGCAAATCACCTTTCACGTCCACAATGATCGCCGAGTAGCTAACAGCCAACTGGGAGGCATCTTGAAGTAGAAAGAAAAGTGAATGCCCCTTGAACATGTTTTGACAACCGCTTATCGAATAGGGAAGCAATTTGAACCCTGAGCCATCGAAACAACATCTTCCGCTTATCTTTCCCAAAAAATGCTCAAGAACAGCACACAAGTTGGGTGTTTTGTCCAGGGAGTAACAGGTGACCCCCAAAGGGACATGTCCCAGAATGTGTGTGAAATCCACGACTGCTGAGCTTTTTCTCTGACTTTGCAGCCATTGTCCTAGTCAATCTTGGTCAGGATGTCACACACTTGAGATAAGGAACCCCTTGTCGGAACCCCTTGTCAGACCGGACCACGTCTTCATTTCCGGTCCCACCACTCGCGCTCACCTCAAGTCGATCTTGCTCCAATGCCTGTCGACCTTTGGCAAAGGCCCGGTCAATCTTCCTCTGCTGCCGAACTTGCGCCTTACATGGTGCATGACTTGCCCAAAAGTTGTTAAATCTGTTTTGCCCCCAGTGGTAGTGCACACCACTACAGCAACTTGTTACTTCCAAGCATGACAAAGCACCGAGGCACCGGCACTGCAGCATTGAGCTCGGACACCTCGGGTGCTTCGACGCAGATCGGATCAAAGAGCCGAATCCAGCGGGATCAAAGCGCTGGAACCGCGCGGGAAGCCCCGCGGGAAGCCCCGCGGGTTCCGAGAGTTGGACTCACCCCGCTTCTCTAGGACTCACCTGCCACTAGCCTTTGGGGAGTTCCCCTGGCGCACCGCAGCAAATACAAAGGAGTTCAGCAGAACGTTCCAGGTGCAGTCTTGGAGTTGTTCCACATCCAGCAGCTTGGGGCCAGTGAATTGAAAATGTGATCAATGAAAACATCCTTGGCAAACGCTTTCGCAGTAGTCCGTCTTTAACAAATCCAAGAATTTCACCTCTGACAGTTAAATACGAATGCCCCCAACTATCCAACTGGGTGTTCTGACCTCGAAAACCGTCCGTTGGTCGTGTCCTGAGCCACAACTTCCGCCCAACTTCCCCGGGCCTCTTCCACATTTGTGACTGGCCGGCGTCTTGGTGGGATCAAGGCAAATGACATAACGGGATGAAGGCAACTCCGCGGAAACGGCTGCAAGCAGAAACGGCTCCAAAAGCTTCCCCTTCTAGTGGAATCGTGCATGCCACTTTTAGTGGTTTGGACGTTTGAAGACAAGATACGTATGTTGCTACACGTGTTCCTCGATTAGATAGAATACGGGGGCCCGGGAATGGCCACGTGTTTCCACATCTCGGTCAAAACCCGGGCGGGCGAAACCCGGCGTGCCTGCAAGGAGGCCTAGCTGCCATGGCCCGATGCACCCAGGTCTAGCTGGTCTCTCTAAGTGGCCCGATGCATGTTGGGGTGGACCCCCCAACCGCTGACGGAGGCACCGGTTGGGAGCTGCCTGGCATTCCATTCCACAAGACCTACAAGCCTAGCGGACAGCTTTTCGAGGAATTCGGTCACTGCGAAGACCCCCGAAAAAAGAAATAGCCATGTGCGTGGTCAGCGCACATGAAGGCCAAGAAGAGGTGGATTTCGAGTGTAACCTCCTGGAAAGCAACATGGACCCTTAAAAAGAGGACCCCGGGTTCGACCATCTTCTAAAAAACCACTGATGGGGTCCATGAGTCATGAGTCAGTCGTCTGCTGCAAAGTACCTTCGCAACTTGCTGTGTGACCTGTGTCCACTCCACCTATCTTCACTCCATCAGCTGCCGTTTCACCGTGAGCCAACACGGGCGGTCGCGCTGGGCTTCGTGTTCTCAGTCTTCAGACGGTCCCCAAGTTCAGAAGAAAGACGGGCGTGGAAGACGGGGAAGACAGGCGAGGAGAGGAGGAGAGTCGTGGGGAAGGTGGATCATCCAGCCCCACATGCTGGGAGCAGCCCAGAAGAAGACTTGTCAAAGGTGTCTAGTCTAGGACATATGAGAGTCACGAAGCTGTGACACAGCACAAAATGGGCATCCCAAAAGACTAAGTTGACCTTGATCGACGACCGCTTGGTCATTTGGTCTCAGGATCACCCCCCAGTGAAAAGAACCCACGAGAATTCTTTGACCTTTGCATCAGTTCTCTCATCCCCATCACTTGGGGCATGCCCCACCCAGCTTGACCGCATCCCTTTCTGGAGCAGCCTTCTTTGCGCCCGCCATCCACAGCCGCGAACATCACCGGAGCCACCCTGTTCGTGGCGTTGACCGGAGTCTCACTGCGGATGCGGCAAAGCCAAGGTCCTGGCAAAGGGTTGGGAAGGGAGTTCATAGTTGGATGCAGCTCTTACCCTGTCTTACACCCTGCCTTGCCCTCCATGTAGCAAGTGACTTGGAATGCTGGATCTCGGCAAATGTGTGGAATAAATAGGAACCCCACGGGTACTTTTGAGCAGACCTCAGCAATCCTCTCATCTGCGCCAGAACTTCCAGTTGATGTCCGTCTCATGAAAACCGCCGCGGTGTCTCAAACTTCCACTGTTGAGCAGCATGAAGTTGGCTATACCCTCGCTTCTGTTTGCGAAGCGAGGACTTTGGGCGGTAAAAAGGTGCTCAAAGGAATTACAGTAAGCTTTCCAACCTCCCCAACAAAGCGCTCCGTTCTTGGGAGGTGGCACTCCCAAAAAGACACAAGCGCTATTGGCGGATGGCTTTCCGCAGCACTGGAGGGAAGAGAAGTGTCCTAAAGAAACACAATCTTTGTCAATGGCTTAGTTGAAGTTCAGAAGGAGCTGTGCCAAAGTCTTCTCCCATCTTGACCCCATGACTTCGCTCAGATCTTTCTCTCTCCCAACCTTCAAACGCTCGGATCCTTCTCTTTCCACCAGTCACCACGGGAAAAACACCTCACATCAGGGAACCGCGCCGCGACCACGGCCATGTTGGGATCATGTGCGAGTACCAGGCATGTATGCCTGTCCGCCCAACAAAAGATCCTTTGAAGTCCCTGCAAGGGTTCTTGTTCTGGCCACTTCTATAAAAACGTCCCAAGGAGTGTCTACTCTCAGTTTACCGGCAAATCAAGCATACACTGTGACTTCTAAAACGGGACAAACCCTTTCCCCTTAGAATCCTACGTGCAACATGTCGACACCTAAGTTGCGGTCAGATTTCGACACCTGAAAGCCTTATAAGTATATATTATACATTTAAACGGGTGTGGAAATCTGACCGTGCTGTACCTGCCAGGCAAAATGGACGTGTCAATCCGATCCGCTGTAGACCGCAAGTGTCATGTTGGAACAGAGTAAGAAACGTAAACTTTATATAGGGTTCTTGAAGGGTGCCTTTTGTGTTTTTCAGAAGGTGCTGGAAATATACATGTGTAATTATGTATGATATTCCAATATTTGTTCTTGACTTTACAGCAGGACAACGTTTATGTCGAACCTAACAACATGTATGCCTGTCTGCCCAACAAAAGATCCTTTGAAGTCCCTGCAAGGGTGCTTGTTCTGGCCACTTCTATAAAAACGTCCCAAGGAGTTTCTACTCTCAGTTTACCGGCAAATCAAGCATACACTGTGACTTCTAAAACGGGACAAACCCTTTCCCCTTAGAATCCTACGTGCAACATGTCGACACCTAAGTTGCGGTCAGATTTCGACACCTGAAAGCCTTATAAGTATATATGGGCAACCTTTTTTTTTCACCCTTGAACCCTGTTTTTTTCACCCCGCCCTTTTTTTCCACCCTCCACCTTTCTTTTTCACCCTCTGAACCTGTTTTTTTCCCCCTCGAACCTTCTTTTTTCACCCTCTACCCTTTCTTTTTTGACCCTCGACCCATTCTTTTTCACCCTCCTTCCTTTGCTTGGTGTGTTGGTTGGTTGGCTAGCTTGTTGAAATGCAAACCGAATATCGACAGCCTTTGGGGAAAACACAGGGTTGTGTGGTTTTGGTTGATAGGTTTGTTGGTTGCTCGGTGGGCTACCAATGCAAAGCAAGTATCGACAGCATTTGGGGAAAACACGGCTTGGTTGCTACCCTTTCTTTTTTATCCCACTTCCTTTGGTTGGTGTGTTGGTTGGTTCGGCCTGCTTGGCTTGTTGGTTGCTTGGATTTGGGGAAAACACATACAGTGATGGATGGATCACGGGCAGGGAGAAAAATAAAACTTTTTGGTGGGTTGGTTGCTTGGTTTGCTTGCTGTTGATTGCTTGCGTGATAGAGTGGATGGATGGATGGATGGATGGATGGATGGATGGATGCTCTGTAGGTAAAGGCGGGACGGGGTGCGGGGGAGGGCGCAGCGCCTTCCCCGCAACGCAAACCAAGTACCGACAGCATGTGGGAAAAACAGGGTTGCGTGGTTTGGGTTGCTTGGTTTGTTGGTCGCTTGCTTGTTTGATGGGTGGATGGATGGATGGTCTGTAGATAGTGGCGGGCGGGGATGGATGCATAAATGGATGGAGTGTAAATAAAGGCGGGAGGGGGTGCGGGGAAGGGCGCAGCGCCTCCCCCGCAATGCGAATCAAGTATCGACAGCATGTGGGATCACACAGGGTTGTGTCGTTTTGGTTGCTTGGTTTGTTGGTTGCTTGGTGGGCTACCAATTTGGGGGAAACGTTTGGCTGCTTGGTTTGTTTGCTGCTGGTGGGCTACCCACCCTTTCTTTTTAACTCTCCTTCCTTTGGTTGTTGTGTTGGTTGGTTCAGCCTGCTTGACTTGTCGGTTGCTTGGGTTTGGTGAAGACACATACGGTGATGGATGGATCATGGAGAGGGGGAAGAATGTTACTTTTTGGTGTGGTTGTTTGCTTGCCGTGATTGCTTGCGTGATACAGTGCTTGATGGATATGCAATTTTTCTGTTTGTGTGCTTGGATGGATGGATGGATGGATGGATGGATGGATGGATGGATGGACGGGCGGGCGGGCGGGCGGGCGGGCGGACGGACGGACGGATGGATGGATGCTGTGTAAGTCAAGGCGGGAGGGGGTGCGGGGGAGGGCGCAGCGCTACGGGTTGGCTTGGCCGCGTTGTTGCTTGGTTGGTTGGTCGGCTGGTTGGCACTCCGTTGATGGATGCATGGATGGACGGATGCTGTGTAAATGGGGAGGGCGCAGCGCCTCCCCTGCAATGCAAACCAAGCCCCCCCCGCACGGGATTTCTAGTACCTACAGCACTTGGGGAAAACACGGAGTTATGTGGTTCGGTTGCTTGGCTTGGTGGTTGCTTGGTGGGTTTGTTGGCTTGGCCGCGTTGTTGCTTGCTTGGTTGGTTGGTTGGTTGGTTGGTTGGTTGGTTGGTTGGTTGGCTGGCTGGCTGGCTGGCTGGCTGGCTGGCTGGCTGGGTGGTTGGTTGGTTGGTTGGTTGGTTGGCGCTCCGTTGATTGATGCATGGATGGATGGATGGATGGATCCTGTGCTGGATCCTGTGCAGCCTCACGTTCCGGAGGCGTCCGGGTCAGTTTCCGGCGGTTCCCGTTGTTCCGGACAATCTCTACGCAGTTTCCGGAGGGTTCCGAAGGGCTAGTAACAAGAAGCTATTGGGGTGAAAACAAAGGGTTTGGCAGGTGCAGGGACAAGCGGTGTGAAACAAACCGGAGGTGACATCGTTCTCTGTGCAGGTTCCATGGGATACCTGCTTCACCGGCGGAGGGTTGAAAAGAAAGGGTCGAGGGTGAAAAAGAAAGGGTGAAGGGTGAAAAAAAACGAGGTGAAGGGTGAAAGAAACATGCTACAGGGTGAAAATGACAGGGTGCAGGGTGAAAATAAAAGGTTTTGGGAGGGTGGAAAAAACAGGCTCCAAAGGGTGGGAAAAAAAGGAATCTTGAGGGTGAAAAAAAAGGTTTCGAGGGTGGGAAAAAAAGGGAGGGTGAAAAAAACATTGTTCGAGGGTGAAAAAAAAGGGAGCCCAGTATATATTATACATTTAAACGGGTGTGGAAATCTGACCGTGCTGTACCTGCCAGGCAAAATGGACGTGTCAATCCGATCCGCTGTAGACCGCAAGTGTCATGTTGGAACAGAGTAAGAAGCGTAAACTTTATATAGGGTTCTTGAAGTATGAGTCTACGATGTCCATTCAGTCCGCTGACCTGCATGACCTCCCCCTGACCTTGAAGACGAAAGCACGGCACCTTAAATAACTCGTCTTTGCACCAAATGTTCATGGGTTATAATAATGATTATCATAGGATATCATGGGGTCCTTCATAATTAGATCTTAATAGCACGGGAAGTATATGGAAATACCGTGAGAAGCCACCTTCAACCGTCAGATACTGATCTCCTCACCCATTTTCCGCGCACGGTCCGCGGGGTTCAAGTCACCCGAAAGCCACCTGGTCCATCACGTCATGAGTTCGATCTTGTTGTTGATCGGCAGCCAGGTCCTACCGGCGCCGGATGGGATTGAGGTGCGTATTTGGTCGTCCGGCCTCGTCGTCCCAGGAACTTCGAACAAACAAATGGGCGGGTGGACAAAGATTACAAGGGATGGAACAAAGGGAGAGGCCTTCACCGACGAAAACGACGAAAGCGCCTGAGGTTCCAGCAAGAACCCGAGCTCAAAGGTGGCGAACAACCTCTTGCACACACAAAACTGAGAGGTTGAACCATGGGGGATGCTCGTTGGAGATGTTTGCCCGGAATTTCGTTCCATCCTTCAGAGACTCCTTGAATGTCTTGCTCCGCCGTTCTTTAGTCCTGAAGAGCTCGTCTCGCTGCTGGCGGCCTGGAGCGTCGCGTCCGCCACGTCCGTCGGCCGTCGGTCGGAGCGGACGTCGGCTTGGTGGACTCACCGAAGTCGAAAGCCGCGAAGTCGGAATGTTGCTTGGAGACTTGGTGGTTTGCTGTTTTACTCCGAGGTTTCTTCCACTCTTCCAAGTTGGGCCACTTTTGAAGGAGATGCACCAGTTCTGATGTGGAATGGACTCAACAAACAAAAGCTCCATCAAACGACCAGCTCGGGTCGGTGATCCATCTACCCCCAAACAACTGAAGCCCCATGCAGAAACAGAATGTGAGCCCAGCAGCGAAGTTTCAGGTGAATGGATTTCACCATGATTTCACAGTCCTCCAAGGTGGAAAAAGATCGTAGACCTGCTCTGACCAGATTCTTTTGTCCACCACTCAATCACAATATGACTTGACGTAAGTGTGGTGCTTCTTTTGCACACCTTGGCCACTCCTTGGCTGACACACAGCCTACCATCCTGAAACGCCCATGTCCCCAGCTCCTGGCCTTCTTCATAGCCCTGCAAGATGCGAAGATCCGGAGGGTCCTGTCCAAACGAAGCAGGTCAGACAGCATCTCAGACGACGTCACCCCTCGGTACCCCCCGTTCCGCCCGAACAAAGCGGCGGCTCCGACCTCGGGCGGAAGGGCTCGTCGTCCCGGGTGGCGACCGGCGGAGGTCGGTGGGCTCCTTGGGCACCACGGCGTTCTCCGGGAGCGGCTTGTCTTCCTTGTCCAGCACCTTTCGGACCTGGAGCGCCAAAACGAGCGGTGCGTTCCGGTGGAGGTGAGGTTTGGTGGTTGGTTGCCGGGTGGTTTGTTGCTGACGAAAGAAGAGGGTCTTTTTTAAGGAGCCTCGTGGAGGGGTGGAGGGTGGAGGCAGGTGGATGAAACAGTGAGTAAAGAAGTAGTCCACCACACCAAGCAAGCTTTGCAATAAGCTGTGCTGCTCTCTTCCATCATTATTGGTTTCATTTGATCTTTACAGTACTGGGAAACGCCTTGTTCTTTCCTCCAAAATCCCCGTGTGTACTGCCAGGGGATGTCCTCACATTGGAAATTAATGTTGAAATGGAATTTATTTCCATTGGCGCAGACCTCTGAAAGAAGGCCATGAAATAAGCCAAGAAGAGGGGGGGTAGTCGTTCATGATCACTATATAACAATAAATTAAATCCTGTCCCCTGACCCCCCCCCTCCTCAATAACAACTTTTAAGTTCATGATTTTTCTCCTGTCTCCTGACCCCCCCCCCTCAATAACAACTTTTAAGCTTACATTGTTTATCCTGTCCCCTGACCCCCCCCCCTCAATAACAACTTCTATAACTTCTTAATCTTCTGAACGGGAAGAGGCAGGGGGGATTGGTGAAAGATTGTGAAAGCTAGCGGGGTGGATACCTGTCAAATTTATCGAATTGATGAAGTGTAGCGTTTCCAAAATGCAGCAAGGTTTTCTTTTTCCATCTTGCCAGGTCTTTGGTGCATGCACGGGTTCCTATTTCAATCTACATCAGCGCTTCATCTGGAAATGTGTGTAATTTATTTCCTGAGGTGTCTTACCTGAAGATAGGTATGATAGGTCACATGGTCAGCCCCCATGGAAAAATACTTAAAATTGGGCTTCTTGACTTTTTGAGTCTTTGGTGCTGTGTCTGGAGTGGGGGGTGGTTGTGTGTGGAAAGGTTTGTAATTTATTTCCTGGGGTGTTTTCCTTGAAGATAGGTCATGTCAATGAACATGGTCAGCCCCCATGGACAAAAATTGTTTGACACTT